TATTTAAAGTAAGTTCTCAATACGGTTACCATAAGTTCATTTCAGAGTTATAATTTCTTTAAATTGGTACATAATTGTGCCTATATAATGTTTTCTTTGTTCTTATTTTCTCTTGTTCTAGATAGTCTCTGAACATTCTGATATGTTTATATTCCTCCTTCGCAGTGGAAGACCAAATTTCATTCCCATATAAAACAACAGTTTTGTGTATTTAATTAGTTTTACACTTGACATAAGAAAATATAGAACCTCAAGTCTTACAAAGAAAATATATGTTTATAATATGCCAGGAAGTTCCTGAATTTATCGTTCTTTTAATTTCATGTTAGTGGATCTCATAGGAATATATTACAGTGATGTTGACTAATGTGTTTTTAATGGAATTAGTCTATCAGTTGTGTCCATAAAACTTCCATTATGAAGACTAGTATTGATTCCAGGCACCACAAGCGGAACAAGCCCCCATGGACATGGAGCCCATCACGGTGCCTTACCTCAACCCCCTTGTGTTACGCAAGGAGTTCGAGAATATCCTACATACTGATGGAGACATCTGTCTCACACAGCCTCGGTTTGTGGATGAGCATCCGATCATTTTCTGGAACATGGTGAGGTTATGTTTGATTGCTTGCTTTTGAAAAAAAAATTTCCATAATATATTTGAAAGACCTGATTAGAGGTAGAGCAGTGTAGTAGTTCTCTTGGACCCCTGTCAATGTTACAGAACCAGCATTAGCAATTGTCTAGCAACTTACATTTCTTATCACCATTGATAACTGCTTAAAGTCTTGTGTAACACACTGGACTGACTGTGACCATCAAACAATATGGGAATTATATTGTAAAATAGTAATCTTTTATTAATGTTGTTAATAACAATAAATGTAAGACTTTCATGTTAACAAGAAAATTATGACTCGGCTTCAGTATTATGTTAAAAAAATAAAAATGTGTGATTCTTCATTCCCATTCACCATATTTTAGACATAGGTTTGCAACCTACTTACATACATCAGAAGGTCAAAGTAATGTATGCATGTTTGTGCAGGTGTGGATTTTCCAGAGGATCAATATTGAGAGTCATCTGCCAGGATTGTGCCTTCATGCTGCATCTGTAAACAGAAATCAGGTGCCACACCCTTCGTGGGAAAACTGTGATCATAACAATGTGGCTATCCGCTGCATGTGGGACAACCGGCGTCTCCACGAGGAGGTAAGGACACTCCAGCATGTTCCAGTTTCTTTTGTATTCACTGTTTTCCATGAAGATCATATCCTCAAGTGTATGTGTGATGCCACATTTCTAAATCCTCATTCCAGCAGGGACACATAGTGAATTTTTCTGTTTGTACTGTACAATGTTTGCTCATTAACCATTACAGCTTGAAACATGAAATTTGGTGTGATGGATGGATCATAGATTATTTAACAGCACTGTACCAGCTGCAGCTGTTATTCTGAATCAGATGTTGTGAAAGGATGATCATATTTGTTGAGGAAGAAGCCGTGATCTATTTCAGGGTGCTTTCCCATCATTAACATGGAGAGACTTGGTGAAATCATAAACAACTTAAGCGTAAAGGTGGCTGTCTTCTGGGATTAGCATCATCTATTCTGCTAGATAGACATACATTTCAGAGAACCTTACCGACTCCAACACTAACAAGAGAACCTCAGATCTAACCCTAGGATAGTCTGGGTTCTGGCCAAAATTTGAATTTGACACATCCTGACTACTGATCAGAAGTTTATCACTTGATCCACCTTGCAAGAAGGGAGATCCTTAAATTTTGAAATTTCTCGGTTCATGAAGAAGAAATAAGACAGTGTTAGCAATGCCTTATTTTTGTGGGTCCTGGGTTCTTTCTCTAGGGGGTAAAATGACTGGAATATGGAACTGAGCACTTGCCCATACATTTTTAAGGCATGATGCTTGAGCAAAGGGAGAACTTTACCTTTGTTTTTTATTTTGTAAGTTTATTATTTTTATTTATTGTTTATTAGGTTGGTCAGCCCATGTATGCCTTGTGGCAACAAAATGAGCAACCCAGCACTCTTGTGAGTGCCCTGATCACTGATCGCACTTCAATACCACGAAGGTAAATTGCATTATGTAGAAGTTCGGCCATAATTATACAGTTAATTACAGTTAACAATTTCAGGACAGGACTTTGCACCATATATTTAGGAAATTACCACAAAGTTGTGGCTGAAACTCGAAAAATATGTTGCTTAACTTACCTCTGAAAAGAAGGCACATGATTGTGGATTAGAATCACAGCCAGGAATATCACAAATGCGTTCATGTCCCTCTTGATAAGTGAAAAATTACAGGAATATCACAAATGCATTCATGTCCCTCTTGATAAGTGAAAAATTGAGCTGGACAACATTCCATGTTGTGTATATTTTCACTGCTGTGAAGTATTTATTTGCTTCTGCATGTTCAGAATTGTTGGAACACTTTTTCACTCTTCTTACATTATGGTAGCATTGCAGTATTGTAAAATAGGTGTATTTATAGTGTGATGCAGATGGTGATCTCTGGTGTTCGTTGCAATGACTTATTGGAACCCCTCAAGAAACTTGCTATTGAAAGGCAGAAGTTGAAGGGGAAGGGAGTGACTCGCAGCCACTCCCTCTACTGGGACATCTTGTTCTTGGCCTTTACTGTTATGGGCCGGGACAACATCGATCATGGTAAAACATTTTCAGTTTCCCTAGCTGACTACCACTCACGCATAGCAAGTGAGGAAATTAAGAATGTGTGAGGGTTTACCTCATCTCCCACTATGTCTCCATGGCATGGGGAAAATCGTGAAAAATGTCAGGATATCTGATCTCCAGATTAACCTCGCACTTCCAAAATGCAAAACAGGAGTGCCAAGGACTCTTTTACATCCCACCACCATAAGAACTTAAAATTGTTTTAGTGTATTATGTTGAATATTTTTGGGTCTCAGAGTTGTCAGATGTTTTCATTGTATGGTTGCAGCTGCATTTGACCGCAAGTACATGGCAGCATATGAGCATCTGCCAGAAAGGGACCTGAAATTGTACCAACGATGTGACAAACCCCCGTCCATTGCATCTCTGTATTGCAGACACTACTTCAAGGAGCTGGAACTCTGACATGACATGTCCTGCCTGGATTCTTTGATTAGGAGTGCAGTAAGTACTTTCTGAAACAAGCATGGCTGTTTTTGCTTTGAGTTGGATAATACAAATAATATTCCATATTGCATAGTTTTTAAACTTGGAAAACAATTGTTCTGTTTGCTATTTGAAGTAATTTTGCATCACTCTGGCAACACCAGACACTACAACCAAGAAGACAGTCATTTTCATACTCACCTCTGTAAGAACCCCAAACCCTGAGTAGGTGTCTTCTCTGCAATAAGTTCATTTACTTTGCAGTCATACCTCAGATAAATAAATAAGCCCCAGTCCAATAATTTGAATAGAATTGCTTATGATGAATGTATTTGCCACTTTTATGAATGCTGTCAAATTGAGTGACACCTGAAGAACAGGAGGTTCAGTGCTGAGGAACTGTATTCTGCACTTTGTTATTTGCAGGCCATTGCCAGAACAGACAGAATACCAGGCATCCCAGCCACGTCATGTAGTCATGAAGCAGGGAACAGGTTCTGGTACCCAGTGTTACAAAGTGTGATTGTGTTAAAGTTGTGACAATGAACTTTGCGGCAAATTAATTCTGATGTATATTAGTTTAGATATATATCTGCTTGTTATGAGTAATACTGGGAGAAATGCTTTGCTACGCTTGTTGTGGTAGAAGTGGTGCATCACGCCACGTTTGCATTTGGCAGCTTGACTCTCTGTATTACTAAATTTCAGTTAATAAATGGAATAACCCAAAATTCCTTTTGACTGTTGGTCCTTTGGCAAAAACCGACCCCTGATGTAAATGGTGTATTAGTACAGGTCTGCAAGTCTACAGTTTGTGCATTGTTATTGCTTAATAGTTTTATTAAAAAAAGAAGAGAAGGCAAGATTAATTGGAAGACATGGCTGTGGTAGTTTTCATCTTATGCCATACTATAGCTAAAGCTTTGGGTCTGGATACCCAAAAACGTTCACTCACAGTTTGGTAGTTGAGGGACATCATTGTAGGTAAAACATTTCAGGCAAATTACCTCAACAATTCCACAAAACCTAAAAATGACAACAGTATTATTTTATAACAATGACAACAAAAATGCATATTTCTAACTTTCAGCCTTTATTAGAATTATTCACTTACAGTATCATTTGGTATTAATCAAAATGTCTTAATGAAGCTGCAGGCTATATTAGAATCTTAACACTTCATGTAAATCTACAGTAATTATATATATTCAGCTATATAGTAGAATCAGAGATAAAAGTTACACATTAAAATACAAAAATTTCAAATGGAAAAAATTTGTGTAGGTAGATTAATTCTGAAATACATTTTAAATAGCCTATCACACTGAAGCACATTTTATATATTTAATGTAAAAGTTTTTAAATATAAACTTACATAGTAGTCTCAGGATTTTTAAAATTCTGTGAATTCAGTGTACAATTACTGTAAGTTTATGAAAACATTCAATTAACCACACACAGAGATGAAGTAGGCCTTGACAATCTTCAGAGGTCTCATATTAAGTATGGAAATAGTGTATTAACAGGACCTCTGCAACCATAGTTAATCAAACTGGGTTACCAAGTGCCCATAAAAAATCTGGGTTTGAGTTTCTTGTGAAGACGGGGTTACAGTGGATCACCATGGGCCAAAATTAAATTCTCCCAACTGTTTCAGAAGATTGCTGATTTGTGTATTTGTTGCATAAACTGAATGGATACTGTGGAAATTTACACATAGACACTACATTAACAGATTAGATATTTAAACTATAAGTGTATTTCAAAGACCTACAGGTTAAAAGCTACGCATATGGCTGTATAGCCCTATGAACGTTAAATTATATTTAGTAGTGTTTGTAGCTCAGAAGCAACACCTGTGAGACCATGTATTTAAAACTGGTAATATGAAAACAGCAGCGAATGAGGGTAGAAAGAACAGGGCACTGTCAATAATGGACAGAAAAGCTAGTCCTATGGTACATATAATAAATCTTTACAGGGATTATGGAGGAAACCTGTTCAAGTCTAATGATGATGTGTGTTTTGATGCTGTGCAGACTTGCAGGTATATAACACAGAAGTCTACACAGGATCAAAACCCACAAAATCATCATCTGCCATGAAAACTTCAAATGTCACAGTGTTAAAGTCAGATTTACCTCTCAGGAGGTGCTAGCATGTGTATAAGGGAGGTTGAGTGTGGACACTCTGAAGGAGTTTACTGATGCAGCACCCTTTTTAGTCACCACTACTATATGCGAGTCTGCTGAATATGCAATTCCTCAAACTCACAAAATGTACATGTGATTACTTTGGCACATACATGAAATCAATACTATTTATTGAATGAAAATAAGATTTGTAACTTGAAATCTGTGAAGCTTTCTCTCCAGCTATAAAAATACCTGACCTGAAGGAGTTGTCCTAGTAATTCTTATATTTACACATGTGAAATATAATACATATTTCAACCATTATGGCTGTTCTTACTATGCTATTTACTGGCTTAACATTTTAAGATCACTATGTACTTCACAAACTTACAGTCACAAATTTATAACTGAGAATGAAATACAAAATGTATTAATATTTCAGTGTAGATTATGTGCATTCTTATTGTAGCTTTCATATTAATATTCTAATACGCTACAATCGGCAGTCACGAACAACAAATGTCAGCGTAGTGGTATTTGGGAGGTTGCAGGTTTCATTGTGGATTACAGACTGAGGTTTCTCATCACACCATCCAGCAATGAGTAATTCCTTTTAAATTCTTCCCCATCATCCTCCCTTTTCATGTTATGCCACTTATGAAATAAAACTGCTATTTCAGCAACAAAAGTCTTGACTTATGTGGGTACGTGCCCACAGCAAATGCAAATATGAAGCTGAAGAGGTAACCATTAAATACTAGCATTTGAGCATGTCTTCAGAGAGCAAAAGCTGTTTATGCTACAGAAGGCAAACGTTCTACAATGCAAATGTTATTGTAATATGAACTCTGATCAGAATTATGGAATAACAGTATGCCAATATTTGCTCAAAAATAAACATAACACAGTAGTTTTAACTATTAACATAAGAGAACAATGACATTTCAATATTTGTGCTTGACAGGATAATTCTGTTGATAACATGCCCCTTACAGATATTTAGCTAATATGTACCATAAAAATCTGATGTGCTATCAGTTTGTTGTTCATACCACTAGTAGCCAATCTTTGGATCTTGATCTAAGAACAGATGTCCTTTGTCACCGCTTAATTATAGCTATAATTATTACTTCCTGTGTAAAGTATTTGAAATGAATCATAAAGCTGCACTTGGAGTTACAAGTAGGTGGTGTTAATACATGTTAAACTTCATTATATCTGCTGATGGCTCATGACATTAAAATCATAACTGTGCAATCTTTAAACAAAAAATTTGGCAGTTACAGTACTGTATATCATTAAGTTACAAGTGAACTCCCTCAATGTACCAACAGTTCTCTGTTCAGGCACATCTCACCTTTCGATCTGTTTTCTTACTTGTTGAAAGGCTCTCCAAGAGACAATATAACATTACAGCTTGAAGAGTCTTCCAGCAAATTATGCACCTTCACAACCCTAATGTGTAATATTTTTTAAAGGCAAACTTACAAGTATGTACAGTGACCACAACATAACTGTAAGCTTCAGATATGTCACTGAAAGAGGGGAAGGTAAGATGGAAAGGGCAAGGGGAAGAAAGGTAATGAAGAGTCTGTCTTGAGCATGTGTAATGTAACTGAAAATATTTTTTCCCTCTTTTAATTTCAACACAATCAGTGGCATTTTCATACACTGACTTCTACACTACACATTTTATGAACCAAAGGAACCATAAAATAGTAGTAATGCAGGCACATCCCTTAACCAACACATGCAGCTTCTATAGCCTAAATATGATAATTTCACAGCCAATGGTATTCAAGGGTTATCTCTCCATATGTACCATCATTTTGCAGTCTTCCCTCCCTCCCACATGTGTTTGTGACTGTCATCCAGGCTCAGAGTTATATTGAGTCCACTGTAGTTGGTATCCTGATGCCTCACTACAGCAGTGATCCTGTTATTAAAATATCAGTTAATCATTCCTTCTGAACTGCCTTTTAGTTTACAGAATGCAGCATTTTTTCCTTACATCTATAACCTTCTTTTTTTTCCTGCGATTTTCTTTCCCTCGTTGTTCCTTGTCTTTTCTGATTTCACGAACTAAAGTATAAAATGCGTCATCGACCCCCATTCGTGTTTTTGCTGATGTCTCAACAAAAGGAACTGCATACTGCTTGGCAACCTCACGAGCTTGGTTCTTGTCCACTGCCCACGATGGAAGATCACATTTGTTGCCTACCAAGACCATAGGCACTTCTTCTGCATCCTTCACCCTCTTTATTTGTTCACGATAACCTCCAATATCCTCAAAGGACTTCGCATTGTTAACAGCAAATACCAACAGAAATCCTTCTCCAGTTCTCATGTATTGCTCCCTCATCGCACTATATTCTTCTTGTCCGGCTGTATCAAGAATATCAAGGAGACAAGTCTCACAGTCGATGACAACTTGCTTACGATATGAATCTTCAATTGTTGGATCGTACTCGTCAACAAAGTGATTCTGTATTAGCTGAATGGTCAAGGCACTTTTCCCAACGCCTCCTGCGCCTACGACTACTAACTTGTATTCCGTCATGTTGCGGAAAATACGCAATTTCAACAATTCAATAGTACAAAATACTCCATCATTTATGCCAAACAGTTCCGACTGCCTGCATTATTATTACTCACTTTTTCAGAATACAACAGCCATTGCTATTTTCATTCAATACATTTCCGCATTAACACGTAGGCGCTGCGGTAACCATGCAGTACCAATATTAGCTCTAGAATGCTAAAAATTCTCCACCAATAGGTCAAATTATAATAAATCCACTAAATGTACACCTTCCAAGTAATAATATTTTGAAATATCTTCCGGATCAGCATAGTTACAACTACGAGTAGTATTCTCCCACACAATACAAAGCATTTACAAAACTCATAAATCCTCTGGATTTACTGCATAAGCGTTAGAGATAGTGACATATATAAATAAAAAATGCTTTTGAATCAAGGTCTTGCACAGAAATAATCATAGTTGTAACCATTCGTTCATTCAGAGTAAATGTCAGTATAGGATAGTACTTTGTTTTCCATATAAAGAAGAAGTTTCATTATCTTGTATTTCTTTCTTAACCTCAAAATTGCAGGATATGGACGCAACTTTCTGTCTTCGCACGTTGGCAGTAAATGTAGTTGCTTCGTGCTCTGGTTTTACGTTGACACTACCGGAGCAGTTGTATTCGTGAAAGTTGTATATGACTGGAAAGAATTGAATTTCAAGAATGCCTGAATGCATAGAAATAATATTAAAACGTAAGGTGTTACACTTTTGAAATATGTGGTTAAATTTACTTGTGTAAAAATTATTTGAGATTGGCGGAGTAATTAGCAGGTGGGTAATGGTAATGAACAAATATATCTGTACCAGTTGAGTAAAATAACGGAATATGTTTTTGTGCAAATGTGGACTGTATAGTACCATTTGACTATTTGTGAAGTCCTGTTAAATATTTTGTTTGATATCCAAATAATAATAGTAATTTTCTTTCTAACACAGCTATGATTATTGTGACAGCTGTGAACTGTGTTGACACGTACTAGAAATATGGCAAGCACAGATGTTGCAAGTGTCTCCACCTGTTCCTCAAAATATTCTCTCACTGGGGTCTGCAGGTTTTATTCATGCAGTTAGAAAATTCATGCTATGGATTTATTAACTGGGGTAAATTTTCTTTATGTGTTTGTGAAAGAATGACAGCAGAGTTAGTTGGAATGTGTATTTTTTTAATGAGGCCAGATGATACACAGGTTGTCAAGTTACCGGTAATTAACGCCAGACAGTAGTGATCATCATTATTGACACTTATTTTATGACCTAATTCTCTGTTTGCAAGTATGACATTTGCAATACGGCTGAAAGAAAATATGTGTGTGTAACATAGATCAAAGTGAATTGAAGATAACCAACCATCTACTTTTCTAGCATTGGAAACACCTATCAACATGACTGGGGCAGTGACTTAAGTAGGGTTTAGGCGCAGGTTTGTGGGCTCTTGGCATATGCTCCATTTGAATTAACATTTAGTTTTTGTTTTACTTTTTGCAAAAGTCTGTGTACTATAATACACTGGAAACAAAATATTGGTATTCTGGCAGTTGTAGAAAATTTATGCCAATGATAGAAAGTAAATAATTGCAGGCATTAAATTGCTTAAGTGGCTGATTATTTATTTGATATCATCTGTTTTGCAAAGAGTTAAGTCATATATCAACAAAAGTATAGTGAATCCTGTTGAAAGTACCCTGTCTCTCCCAGATCCTTTAGACACTACATTTCTGCACATGAAGTACTGCAGGAGGCAATTGTATGACAGAGTTAATACTGTAAAATATTCCTGTTTTCATTTTATGTAATGTTTGATAAGTAATTAATTGAAGTTTTATTCTAATATTTTAAATCTGCTTATCCCCTAATACCTTTAAGTAAGTACTCCTATAATCTGTTACCTGTTTTGTATTTACTCACAGTGTTTATCTTCTTCTTTGTGTTAAATGTTGTGTTAGGACATTAAATATGTTTTCTCTTGATGTAGGCTTACATGAACATAGGTGTATGCCAGATGTCACACACAGTGATCGTGTGGTAACTCATGAATTCCAGGACTCCAGTAGTGAAGACATCTTTTGTATTAAGGTCTTTGATGTTTTCTCATGTCACTCCAGGGAAATGTTGGAATGGGTAATGGGTTATTTCACACAGTCGGTTTTCAGGATGTCATCTTAACATCAGCCGGTCACTACTTTCCTCTTCCTTCCTTGAAGACCAGTGCTGTTTATCCTCAGTGTTATCCTCTTATTGTAAGAAGGTCACTGAGTTTTGACTGCATAAGAACTTTAGTCAGTATTCTTCTTCGTATTAAGTTATTGTTTCCGTTATATATGGGTCGATGGATGAAAAGTCTCCAGTCTCTTCTTCACAACCTTTCGTTTTTGATTTCATGCAAGCTCTTCCAACTCCTGATGTCTTAAGCCATTGTAGTAATTTTTCTTTTAGTTCTGCTGACAAATTTTGGGTTCTTACTTCTTTTATAAAGGTTTTATTTCTAATTTTGTATCTTCTTCTTCTTCCCCCCGCAGTGGTTTTCAGAACTTCCCTATTCATTGCATTTTGTTTTATTTCATAACAGTTCATGTCATAGTGTTAAGTGTTTTATTTGGTTTAACATCTACTTTATACATTTTTGGCACTTATACATCTTTTCCAAACTAAAGGAATTCTTCCCTTGACAAGTAACACTTGTAAATTACCAGATCTACTGGGTGAGATTTCAGAAATAACTTGGTACCTTAAGATTCTTTGCTTGAGGTGTCAGTTTTAGTGTGCAAAATCAATCACTTTGTAAGTATATTAAAATTTAAAGCTACAGCCCATCCACAGTTTGCATTGCGATTAAAATGTGATGAGAGCATTTCAAATTCCTCCTAGAGTAGTGATGTTTGTATGAATTTTTCATCATTACATCTTGTAATTAAACTGTATAAACTGAATTTAGGACAATGTTAGATTCACATTGCCTGACATTGTTTCATGCATGTAGGTGTAATCATTTAAACTGTACATGCCTTTCCCTTGGAGTGACCATTTGGGTGAAATGATTATGATGTGAATTCTCCCGGTGATGGTGATTGTGGCCTGTCTTGCAAGAAACATTTTGTAACAAGTAGTAAAATATTTTGGGTGTTTTGCATACTTTCAGCAGCTGTGAATTGTGCATACAGTGTAGTCTCCACACAAAATTCTTTTCATGCAAACACAAGAAGTCTGCTGGGAAATAGAAGTGGGAGAAGGGGTGATGTTATTGTTTGTGCATGTGCACTGTGTCTATTCATATTCTAAACACGTTGTACTCCAGTAATCTCCAGCAGTGAAGTACATTATATTCAAATAGAGGAAACAGTGGTGGATGCGTGTTTTGTGAAAGAATATAGTGTGGTTGTTTATGCCCACTTGAACTCCCAGCAGACTTCTCATGGTGCACTGACAGTACTTTTGGGGACCTTGACTTTTCCTGATTCATACTGAAATGTCAACATAAAATCAAATGAAAGGATAGGTTTTATTTAAAGGAAACAGTGTTTTACAAGTAAATAAATGATCAATTTGGTCTTCTGGGTTGTAATGATGTGTGGGCGTGCAGGGACGCAAACATCTTAAATAAACATATTGTCTTCATCTTCTACCCTGGATGAAGCGGGGTCCAGCATCTCTTTGAATTTTTCACAAATCATCAACGTCCATACCCTGTTTGCTACAGTAGTGTAAACATGTGGTGACTTTTCAGTGAACTGTCATGTACTCGCACACCAGAATTGTACCATAGCAACTGGCAATCCAGTTTAAAGTGTACCTAGTTTGAGTCTCAGTAATGATACTGACTGGGATTTTTATTTTTTTCACCTGAACCTTTATGTAAATATTGAGATTGTACCTTGAAATGAGACTAAGCTGACACTTCACTCATTCTTTCCAGTTAGTTTTAAATCATTCTGTAATTTTTTTTGTTTATACCATTTAACCTATGCATTTGTCATTAAATGAATGGATAAAAGATGGGAACATCTCCAGTTATTCAGGTGTATTTATCCAAATTCTTGTCAGATTGATGTATACTACAAGCACTGTGCTGTTTGTGGTTGTCAGTAATAAATTGGAAATGAGATGAACGAAGCAGTCTTAACCTTGTAAGGTATTATCACAGGATTTGTCTGGAAGCCTTCAGGCCAAGGACTGGACCCCTCCATAATGTGAAGCCACTTGACCTCGGTGTTTAGTATAATTAAACTGATAACTTTGCAGCATCCCTTTGGGTGGTTGGAAAAGTAATTGTTTCTGTTACTGTTGATTTGTGATCCTAAGGAACATAAAAGATAAAATCAATTTGCAGGAGTGAATCAGCAGTGGGGAAGAAGATGGAAGGTCCTGAGGTTACATTCATATTCCAATTTGGGCTGGTACGGGACACAGTAACAGCAGCGGCCAGTACCCTGGGGCTCAAGACTCTCAAGGATCTTGCATGTGACTTCATAAATAGGAAGGTGGGTACTGCCAGCATACTGAGGCCCAGGACCCACAAAGTTTTTGCATGCAATTACATTAACCAGAAGGTGGGTACAGCCTTAAATATTAGTTTATTGTAGAGAAATGTTGGTTCTTTACTATTTGGAGGGAAGTTCTGTCATCTGTAAACTATGATACTGTGAAATGTTAATACAGTGAAATAACATTTCCAGTTTGATGGAATGTGTTTTTGAATATATAAGCACATGGCAAATTATTTAATTCTGACAATTTAATTTTTGAAGATGTTTATATTTATAGGAATTGAGTTCCATGGCTCATTACAATAAAGAGTGTAACAGTGCAGTATTGTATAAAAATAACTATCAGCAAACTGACTCGTACTTCCCCTGAATGATACTTGTTTGTAGGCAGTCTTAACCAAGTTTACAGCACAGCCATAACTTAAGGGCTACCATAGAGTAAATGAGCAGTATTTTTCATCAACCATTACTCTGAATTTGTTTGTTTTTCAGACATGACTCTAGCAGGTCAGTGTATCATTAACACTTTAGACTTGAATTTGGAAGGTACCCGATTCATGTCTTCGCTGAGGTGTATTAATAAGCCATACTGCATAAATTCTGGATGAAAATTTTAGTAGTCTTTTATGACACATGATTGTCATTGGTTTCATTTTGCTGTTTGTTGAAATAATATTGCTACATGATGTATATTACAGTTCCCTGATCACGGTCTGACAAGGCTGAGTGAACGTCTGTTGTTGTTTCGTCATGATTATGGGTCTGCTAACATTCTGCAACATATCAACTCAGCAGCTGAGATCATGGACGAGACCCTCGTGGAGATAGTTCTCTCTGCTCAAGTGCCAACAGAAGAGGTCCAATTCCGTCCTCATGCCCTGGCTGTTCACTCCTACAAAGCTCCAACATTCTGTGACTTCTGTGGAGAGATGCTTTTTGGTTTAGTGAGACAGGGACTCAAGTGTGAAGGTGAGAGACATTTGAAAATAATTTTAGAGTATGAATGTGTCAGCTGAAGGAGATTATGTTGTGCAGGTGAGGTAAAAAAGAAATGCATGTGAAAGTTTTATAAGAAACTTCGAGCAATAGTTCTCATTGCCTGAAAGAAAAATTATAAAATAACGGCTTTCAAAGGACCAGTACTCAATCTGTTTTGAATTATGCCATTTAAATAATATCAGCCTAATGTTATTATTACTTAATTGTCAAATTATATGAATTTACAGTGTGAAAATTATTATCTTTGTGATACTGAAGTTCAAGAGACATTAAGATTGAACATTCAGAATTAAAATTATGCATGAGATCATATGAAATAATTTGCTAGAAACCTTCTGTATTATCACATTGATGTAGTAACAGAGAGAAGGGTAATCATAATTGGCTTACCTAATAAGATCTGTGTAAAGATATTAGTAATGTTCATCACAGACTAGAAGGAGGTAAATAATCATGGGCTGAAAGTGGTATTTATTCCATATGTGGTAAATTTGTTTATATGTATCTGTGGACTGGCATAAGCAAATCGCTGGTTAAGAAACAATGACATAGAGACCAGTTAAATCATCTGGAACAAGAAACCTGGAATTTCAATAATTGTTTCTGTGCCATCCATACCAACTTTAAGAACAGAGATAAATTAATATTAACTTTTACTTACAGTTTATTTCCTCCTGAAAAAATTATTGTGATTCTTATTTATAAACATTCAGTTGTTAGATATATTAGTAGAAGCTACCTCCAAAAATGTCCAATTTACTGAAATGTACATTCAGTTTTTAGGAGGTATTTGAAGGAAAAATGTGTGCAATACAACTTTTGTTTTTATCATTGTAGGCTGTAGCCTCAACTTCCATAAACGTTGTGTTGTAAAAATTCCCAACAATTGCACATCAGCAACTGGAAGGGGGCGGCGCCCATCAACTCTTCTTGTTCCACGCAGCCCATCAGACACAGGGTCCACGGTCTCTCTTCCCTCAGCCTCTGAAGATAGTACACAAGTATGTTAGCATATATATGTAACAAAGTAGGAAAGATAATAGGCGTACTGCGTGTAAACTGTGATGCACAGACCGTAAAGGTTAAGTGAACATATCATGGGGAAGTTTTGTCTCCCTGTCCTTGTTATATCTGCAGGGATACTGAGTGGAATTTTATGAAATTTGGTATTGGCCCATTATAATTCCTACTTTACTTTAAGCCAATTTAAAACTGTTTCAGTTTTCTAAAAAAACAGGTGGTTGTATAAAAAGTTGGCACCTGACATGAAATGTCTCATTGAAAGCCATTTTGTATGAGTGTTTAATAGAATTCAAGGAAAAAAGTCTGTGATTACATGTAATGTGATTAGCTTTGCAAAAATATGTGGCTAATAGGTTTAATTTTGAAGTCTGAAGGTTGCTGATGATGGTGCATCTAATCTGTATAAATTATTTAATGGACTTTGTCCATTATCTCATTTGCAAATAAAACTAAAACTATAATGTTTCAGAAGCTGAATCTTCTTCCATCTTTAGGTAAAGTGTTGGGTATGAGGCTATCTACACCAAGGGGCTCAACAGCTATGGTTTCTGACCCTTCCTTTTTACCTGAATATGAAAGAAGATCCAGCTTCTGAAACAGTAGTTTTATTTCTATTTGTAATTTAAATGATGGATGAAGTCCAAGAAAACATTTAATTTTTTACTTCTGGAGCACTTCTTGTAATTTATATTCTCATTGTTATTCTTGCAGCTTCTTTCTAGTAATGTTATACCAAAACAGAGCCGTTCTCCGTCACTGGGTGGACGCACAGCAGACAGGGAAGCAGCGGGGCACATTAGAATCCCCCACACTTTTGTTCTGCACAGCTACATGCGCCCCACAGTCTGTCACTTCTGCCGAAAACTTCTGAAGGGAATCATTAAGCAAGGCATGCAGTGCAAAGACTGCCACTGTAATGCACATAAGAAGTGTGTTGATAAGATTCCGAAAGACTGTTTTGGTGAGTCTGTCTTCCATGTTGTGCCTGCTGTTTGTTAAGTGCGATCATTTTTGAATTCATATTACTTTTACATTGCACTTATTTTCAGGTTTTGTTATTTAAAAATTAATACAAACTTCTTGGTATGTTTAATCAACTGTTGCCACAACAAAAATATATCAGTTCCGTGTATGTATTTAACCTTGACCACCATCCCTCTGTCTGCTCTGGACAGAAGCTACAGCTTGTCTGGTATGGTATGGCTGATGTAACTG